TCACAACCTGGAATCTGCGAACGAGACGGCGCAGGAGGGGCTCTATACATTTTCGCACCATTATATCTTACCTTGTCTTTCGTCGATTGGAAACTGCATGCACGCATGTACGGCCCCCTGCCTTCCAAGTCGGGAGGACCATCTTCGACGTCGGAGACGGGGCCGTGCGGAAGCCAGCTTTGACTTTTATGATGATTGGGATAATGATGATTCCAACGACAGTTTACTTGGATGGGGCACGGACGAGCTCGACCGGCTGCTGGCGGGAAGCGGCTTGACGCGCGGGGGCGCCGAACAGCCACGCAGACAGCGCAAAATGAGTTACGGTACTCGAGGTACGAGACGGAAGAGCAGTGTTTTGGTACCCGATAATCGAAATGATCCCACTGTGATTCCAAGCTCGTCCTTTCTAGGGTTCTTGGAGCGCTTTCCCTGGAGACTGGGTGCGCGAGGGCTGAAATATCGACCATCCGCTGCGGATCTGCAGGAACATCCTACGGGGCTGCGCCGGCATGTGCCCGAGGATGAACCCCTCATGGAGTCCGCTGAAGGAACGGAGGAGCAGGACTCCTCCAGCAAGAACGGGCGATACCGCAGTGCCACGCAGACATCGCGTGAGACTGCGAACTCCTTGAGCTCGAGAGGGGATTTGATTCCCAGCGACGAGGAAGAAGATGCAGTTCCTCTAGACGACGAATTTGCACTGGCGTGGGTCAGTCGCCGAGGAACAGGACTAGACTCGGACGATCAATTGAGCGACAAAGTTGCAGGGATAAAACGGTCCATGTCGGGAACCTTTAGTTTCGGGACCTCAGCTTCGAGGGAGTCCAAAAAGAAAAAGAGTCTGTTACGAGAATCCCGGAGTCCTAACAAAGAGAATACTCGTGATGACGGCGCAGCGTCCTTGGTGGTTCTGAGAAAAGAAGAGGAGCAAGCAGAGCTTGAGGAAGAAACAAACGTAGCTCGGAAACGGGCTGCAGCACGAAGATTGGCTGCAAGTCGTGGCCTCGATCAAAGCAAAGACAAGGTATGCTGGTCGCGATGAAGTTTGGGACCATTCATGCTTACCCGGGATTGCAGCCTTTCCAATCATCTCATCCGCAATCTGCACCTGGTGTCTCAGATGATCCTTCTACATTCCCGGATCGCACCCTTGTAGAGCCAAATGAAGCCCGTACCCTTTCACCTACCCGTGGAGGCGTCGCACGCCGCGAGTCGGATTGGCGACCACCTACGAATTCCTCCCAAACAGAACCTTTCCCACCACTACCCTCCTCTCTATCAGCGGCTGGCGCGTCCGAAGACCTTTCTACGTCCCCGAAAACCCTTACCGAAGTCCTAAGCAGCCCCTTGGGAGCTGCTGGGCAGCCAAATTCATCCCACAGTCATGGAGATAATTCTTCTCACGGGCAAAGTGGAGAAGATTAACCCGCTTGCTGCAGGAGCTGTCCGAACCGCTTCGGCTTCGGCTGGAAGCTAAGAAATGCCAGGAACACTGGCGGCAGTGATTTCATAAAGAAAGCGGCTGGAAACGCTTATATTCAAATGGCCAGTTCCTTGGCATTGAGCCTGAAATTGTACATTATGATATGATTAACGATCAGTTACTTTATACCCAATTCTCAAGAAGAAAAACAAGCAGCTACACACTCGGTGTACTGTACGATCAATGTATAATCTTTTACAGTAACACCTATATTATCTCCACTGCTATGTTCGGCTTCGTCCTTGGTTTGAGGAGTCCCGAACCCCTCAAATACCTGCTCAGAGGCATGAAGCTTGCCTTATATCACAGATGGTTGGATGTCACTGTTACTGGTATCGTTCGACTGGCCTTTATGGCGGCGCTAGGGAAGAGTCATCAAAAAGCCAAGGCGGATTGGCTAGATTCATGATCTGTTGATCAAAGATCGTCCACGAATAATCCATATTCGGCGCCGGGAACGCAAAATCAGGTCCATTGTCTGGCGGGGTATGCATGCTTTGGATTCCTGACTGAAGCCGCTCCGCAAGGACGCCGTGGATGCTCAATGTGGACGGGTCACTACGTTTCAAGGTGCTGAGCTGGGTTTGGATCAGACGGAGATCTGCAACAGGCCGTATTAGAATATGATTTCAATGCATGCTAGATCGTACTGTACCATCCTGATGTGTCATTCCGTCCTCGACCCCGCGTAGCAGGAGCATAGCTGCCCAGGTTATCATCTAGATTTGTTAGACTTGCCCTGAGAAGGTAGGTGAGTGCATGCTTACAATCAGATCCCAGTTGGACCAGATACTAGAATCATCCTGCCGCAATCGTAGGACAGCGCGCGCCGACATCAGGAGCTCCTGCCGTTCGCTCGGGGTGATGTTCGCGGAGGTCAGGTCGAAGCCACGAGCTGGATGGTAGATTGATAGAACGTAGAGCTTGTGGAGATGATATTGCAAGAGGATAAGGATACCTTGACGATCGGATGGTGAGGGCTCTGTGGACACGAGCATGATACGTTAGTTTCGCTACATCCATCGCTAGTTCTGTCCAGCAATGAAATGCCTTACGCGACGCTCCGTTGTATTGAACCAGCCACTCATCAAGCTTCTTGGCCCACAGCCGAATAACCTGACAATCCTTTTCTGTGAAAGGTGTCCCAACCGAGGACAAGGCATCCGATTCCCTTGCACTCACGAAGGACCATATAGTGGGAAGTTTCCGGCCCACGAAATGGCTAAGGCCTTGGTGCATCATCTGCGAGAGGCCGCGAAATGCACTGTCATGTTGGCTATCCAACTGTTGCAGAGCCGGTATGGGTGGCTGTCTAGGAAGAAGGGGATAGCACATGTGCATGGAGGCATGCTCTATGTCGATCACCTAGAGACATTAGAACATAAGCCGGGGATTATACGCATGCACGCTGCACAGTACCTGAACTCCAGAAAAGAGACGCCGCCAATCGTATGTTGCGTCTTCCAGGTCGGAAGGGCAGTGGTCAAGTAGAAGCCGGTATGCGAGGGCTATCCACTTGTCTGTTGTTTCAATGTACGCTTCGCAACTTAGGCTGGCCATAATAAGGCCAAGAATATCCTGAAATACCGTATGCTCGTCACTTGACGATGAGGAGACATGACTTCTGGTCCAGCCAGAGATGCCAGGCCTTGCGCTTGGAATGACAAGCTCGGCAATCGCACTGCATGTAGCTGCGAAATATCCACCCGCTAAGGAAGCAAGCTCGGCTAGAGGGCTATGCACCGCCGATATATAGAGAACAGAAGCAAGCAAGAGTGGTGAAGGAGCAACCAAGACACTTTGATCCTGAACAAAATGAAGTAATGGAAGATTGTTCAGAAATCTAGGTTTGCATCAGTTCACACACTGAGAAGGGAGAAGGTAAACAAAGCATTAAGTTACGTACGAGGTCCATAAACGCGTGACGATTGAATATGACCAGATATTCTGGTCCTGAGGCGGACAGGTGATGATTTTAAGACGCTCAACAGCTTTCCAAAGTCCGCGAGTAGAAACATCGTCAGGCTCTTCCTCCAGATCCGAGTCAACGGCCAGCGATGGAGCCGTGTTTGCAGCTTTGCCAATGCCTAGCAGCGACTCGATCCGCTCCAGGCGCCCGAGAATAGACGAAGAATCCTGATCGGGAGACGGAGGATGATACACGAGCGTGCCCTGCACACTCTGTGACCGTTCTGGGATTGATTGGACCGCCGCAGCCTAGAGGGTGTCAGTATGCAATGGAATCTCTCAGACGTTCCAGGGAAGCACTGAGGCAAATACAGGATCAGTACATTTGATCGAGGCTTGAAGATACATGGAGCGTTCGTATGTCGACAGCGACGACATGGAGGAGCCCCGTCGACTTCACATTTCATCTTGAGGTCCGTCAGTACAATTGGCCCATTCTGGTCGACAGTCGTTGCAACCTCACCTTCAACCTACGACAATTGACTGTAACATATTCCGTCAGTTTTGTCCAGCACTAATCAATCTACTTTGAATAATGAGAATTCAGCTCCACCTACCGCATGCCTTTGTCGGCTTGGGGCCCAGGACAATGGAGCCCGTTCTCTTCATGGCGCTATACACACGAATTGCTGAATAGCATGATTTTCTTCAAGAACCCAGCCGAGGCAAAGGTGCGCGGCCGCTTTCCTTACGCCTGGGGAACGTTTCTTTTCAAGTTCATCTGAATTAAACGATGGGAAGGGGAATTTTCGAGTGATTGGAGATGTTTGAGGTCTGTCCAGACACGTGAGAGGGGAAGGCTGGACTGTAGACTCTGTAAACTAGACCTCCTCTTCTTTGATTTAGATCCTCTCACGATTCGCCCGTTGGTCAACAGACCCCTGATAAGCCAAGAGTACCCTAACGAGAATTGGAAATTGGTTGCAGAATGCAGAAACGACTATCGTTTATCGCTTCTGGCCTTCTCTCGACCTCCTGATTTATGAAAACTGACCTTAACCTCGGTCTAGTGGTCTATAGACTTCAACAAGCCACAGTCTAGCCCAAGTAGGCGGCACCCAAATATCACCTAATTACGAGATAAGATACAAGCAAATAGAAGCTCCCTACATTCCTATTCATGTTCTCGCGTTTTTAGTCCGCCCTGCGTAGGCTGAGAGTTCAGAGAGGGTCTGAGAAACGGAGACAAGAAGTGTACCTCGTGGGTTCACATTCTTACTGATCTTGCGCTTACTCCAGGCTTGAAAGGCCAGGAGGACCAGCCATCTACCGATCATGGGGATCAAGATCGAAGACGGGGTCGAGGTTTGTTCTTGAGACGCGCTGGAATTATCGATACGGGAAAAGGAAGGAAGAAGAGAAACACAGGGAGTGAAGTCGGTATACTATACAGGAAGATGTCTATTATACAAGCAATGGGTCCGGCGAACGTGATGATAAAAGGTCGTTAAAATGATACATTATGGAGCCCCAGGGCGTTGAGAAGGGTCCAAGATTCGGGGTATCATGTTCGTCTAGACCAAGTCGTTGCAATATCGTCTCAATTTTAAGCAGACGCCACGGCGCCATCTTGGCTCATGGGGTCGCTCGCAGGCTCACTTGAGGCATTCATAGAGAGCTTTCGGACTTCCCAGCCGTCGGAATCCGCCCAATCCTTCTTCTCGCCGAGCAGACAGATGGATTGCCGAGAACCTTCAACCAGGAACTTCTGAGCGGCTTCATTGACATCCTTTGCAGTGACGTCTAGCACTTGCTCTCGCCAACGTTGGTCCATTTCATGTGTAACACCACTCATGAAATACCTGGCACCCTCCTCATCAACACTCACAGGAGCATCAAGTCCTTGAAAGATGCCCAACTTGGCCTCAGCAAGTTCTCGGTCTGACCAGGCACGGTCCCGAGCAAAGATCCCGCTGTTCTGGAAGACTTTGAGACTGTTCACTGGGTTGGGATCCCGGTAGCTAGTAAAGGCGAAGAATCCCTTGATCGGGCCGTTGCTGGCCCCGGCGCCATACGCGCCTCCCTTCTCTCGGATTTCAGGGTGAAGGTATTTGTGGGTCAGAAGTTGAGAAAGGACGCTGAGGGGCGCACTGGAGGGATCAATGAAAGGGACCGTCTGCATGGCAAGTCCAGAGTAGTAGACCTTGTAAGGCAGGTCGTAGAACACCCTATTGGCTACCGAATTCACGCCAGAAAGCTCAAGCGGCGACGTGGGTGACCTGTTGCGAGGCAGTCCTGCCAGCCATTTCTGGAGCACATTCTCGTTTTGTGATGCACTGCTGGGCTCACAAACCATGCGAACACGGAGGCCAGAGCCTTTGGAAATAGCAAATGACTGAATCAGCCGAAGTTTATCAATCAGCTCACCAAGACGTTCGTGTGAGGTCTCAGCGTCGCGAAGGAGGTTAGCCGTAGCCTGCAATTGCGCTAGGCCAGAGTGCTGCTCCTGAACCCAAAAGCTCCGGGATAGACCAGCAGCTGCGGCATTCAGCGCGTATCGATGACCCGACCCGGCAACAGCATCCAAAGCTCCGTTGGTGGTCATGCGCAGCAATTCTTGAATCATGGCGGGCGCATGAGGGCTGGTGAAATCTGTCTCAGTGACGAGTGTAGTGAGAATCTGCAGCATATCTGGGATGTTGCTGTCCAGAGCATATCCTGAAAACTGCAGGCCCTCTCTAAATTTACCTAACTCCGTAGGAGAAGATGTGTGAAGAGTGGATGTTGTGATTCCGCCGGTCTTCAACTTGATCAGGTCTTCCCACTGTTCCATGGATTTGTCCGGAGTGCCTAGTCGCATGATACAATCGTTGAACAGCGGCAATAGCAATCGCAGGTCATCTGGGAGCTCCTCGAAAGAATTCAAAGCTTGGAAATAGGTGAGTCCATTTGTTGGGGCTTCGCGCCAGACGACGTCTGTACCGTCTACCTCGGACTCCCGCACGGGTTTGCGTTCCTTTTCCCTGGAGATATCCTCAACGCGAAGAGAGGGTAAGCAGCTCAAATCGGCGTTCTGCGCCTCTTCCTGAATCTTGAGCAATTGAAGCTCTTCTTCAGCAAGCGCGGAGACAGCCTGCTCAACCGAGCCATGACGCTCAACGAGCTGACTGAGCTTCTTTTCCTTACGCACCATTTCCTGATCATCGAGATCTTTGTTAAACGAGGGAGTCCCCACCATCGTAAACGTGAGACACTTATCGTTCATAAGATATTTTTGCATCAATGACTCAAGGTAGCCTCCTTGTTCGTATCTTTTCTTGAACTCATCGATGACTTCATTCCAAGACAATTCCTTCATAGGGTTCGAACCATTGAACCAGGATGAAAGAGTTTTCTCCATGACACCAATACCGAAGTTAGCCGTCTTGTGTCTCAACGCGAGTTCCAGCTGATGAAGAAAGCCTTGGACCTTCTCATCATTGAAGCCGGAAGAAAGAGACTCCCGGAAAACCCTTTGAGTAGTTGTCTTGACCTTTGGTGCGTCCGCCTCGCTCACGCCGGTAAGACCGACTGAAAAGATCGGCACTCTACCAGAAGAATCAAGGCCTGTGTTGGGAGTAAAAGAAGACCCTAACCCACTCTCGATCAACGCACGATACATTGGCGAACCATAGCCATCGAGGAGCAAGGAAGACAGAATTCCAACCGAGAACGTCTCGACGACGTCCGTCGTATCGCCCATGTACCAAGAGGTCGAGGTCTTGAACTGCTTGTCCTCGCCGGCAAATGTGTCGATAGGTCCGGGAACAGTGACATTCACGGGACCGCGACTCAAGTCCAAGGGCAACTTGACATCTCTGTCCGCTTGTCCCTTGTCAAAGCCATCCAGCACCTCACCGATCTGCCTCAAGTGTCCGCTCAAAGGCATGTCCCCGTATGTCAAAATCTTGGCGTTACTGGGATGGTAATTCCGCTTGGAGAAGTCCACCAGCTGCTGGTGCGTCAAATCGGTGATATATTGAGGGTCTCCACCAGAGTTATTCAGCGCCGGAAAGATGCTTTCACGATATTTGATGTAGTAGAGATAATTGGCGTCCGATATCTGTCCCTTCATTTCGTTGTAGACGACTCCTTTGAAAAGCACATCGTCTGACTGCAGGCTTCCTTTAACTTGCTCTCCCTGGGCTAGAATGGGGCGAGGGTCCTCTGGTCCCAGCCGCCATCCCTCTTGCCTGAAGTCTTCTTCTTTCAGCAATGGGTGCAGTGTAGCGTCCAAATAAACTGAAAGCAGGTTCTGAAAGTCCTGTTGATTTGTTGTGGCGAAGGGATATGTGGTGTGGTCGGCGGAGGTGAAAGCATTCATAAAATTCGACAATGATCGGGGAAGCATTTTGAAGAACGGGTCGCGAATTGGGTATCTAGAATGTCGAAGCATATCAGCAATGAGTCCATCTCAAGGCACACTTATACTTGCGCAAGAGTCGGACCGAAGCTTTCTCACTTTTCACTTCCACATAACGTGGTATGCTCCAAGATATGTGGTACACCAGTCGCATCTGGGGGGTTCGTCTTAAAACCAATACCGAAGACATTGTTCTTATCCTCCCGGGCAACATGAAGGTAATCTGCATCTGTCTTGTCGTGCTTTAACCGCACTGCCGTAAGGTGCAACTCTGGTACATGTTTCTTCTCCTGGACAGTGAACCCGTGGAGTTTCTCTCCGACATTTGGAAAACTGTCCAAGCTAGTGACGGTCGACGCAGCTCTTCGAGATTGACTCCATGGCGTGAGTGTGTTGCTGACTCTCAGCAACCGACCGCAGACGGGCTGCCGAGAGACGGGTATTCGGCATTTGCATTTACCTGCCCCTGAGAAAGAGCGCAACATGGCGTGGACAACCTGGAAAGGAGAGAGACCGCCTGGCTGCAGCAGTCGATAGGATCGTGAAGCTTTCTGTCTTCTAGGAATTGCTACCCCAACTATGGTACCGAGACAAGAGGGTCGAATAAGGGTGCAGCAAAAGTGTCTCAATCACTTTGATCCGATCAAGGACACATCTGACTGGACAGTCGGCGGCGTCTGAAAGAACGGTAGAAAATGTCCAAACAGATATATCGATGTAGGTGAAATCGAAGGACATGATGGCGGACCAGGCAGTGGTACTTTGGCCGATGCCAAGATTGCAGATTTCAAATCGGGTTAGTGCCGGTCAAGTGCGCATCCCCTCCTCTTACCTACGCTCACGACTGGATTCAATTCGATCCATTCTCCCCGGCAAGGTCCTCGAAGCTTCTGTTCTGTGTGTCTGTCTTTCATCTGGCAGACCTACTCTCATTCTCCGGAAGCCCCCGCAGTCTATTCTCTTGCTTGAAAGTCTTCGATCGTCTTGCAGAACTTGGTTGCAAAGGATTGTGGAGATCCAATCCACCGAGTTCTGCGAGTCTTAAAAGACAAGGCCATCTAGGTTCTCCGCTAGTATAGGTACTCTGTGGGTTTTCGACTTCGATTAGACTAGAGCTTCGATCATACTTCTTGGGAAGTCCTGTCTTACATTCGTGGTGTTCCCGCCTCCGCAGCCCTGTACCAAAAAAGCCACCCATTTTAACGGTCTACCGCTTCTCGCCAACCTTGCCGTCTTCGCAATTTTCGGCATCCGTGGATTGGCCACGCGACCACCGCCAACGAATCCGCAAATCGCACCCAATATTCGGCACTGTTCCTGCAGGAATCGAGGGTCATGTCGTCTGCAGCAATGTCGAAGAAGAACAAGGGGAAGAAGATGGCAGACCCCAACGAGACGTCTAAGCTACTTGCTGCCAAAATCTCTCAGCTGGAGCAAGATGCTGCTGGGGAGAAAGATCAAGAACAAGAGATCGGTTCGTTATGCGGCCTTTTCCTGGCAGAAAATCCCCTTGCAGCTTAGATTTTCGATCGCCGCTACATACTTGTTAAGCGGTTGACACTAACCGGTCGACAGAGCGTGAGGTCAAGAAGGCTACCAGAGATTTGAACCAATTGCTCAGCAACATCGAGTCCCCCATGACCAGACTGGAGACCGTGCACAAGAAGTACACCGAACTGTTGGCGGACATGAAGAAGCTGGATCGCGACTATGCCAAAAGCAAAAAGCGGGCCGATCAACTCCAGAAGGACCAGGACAAGGGCAAGTCGGAATTGAACAAGACTGTCACCATGAAAGATAAACTGGAGAAACTCTGTCGAGAGCTCACCAAAGAGAACAAGAAGGTCAAGGTGGGTTGATTCGGACTCGACGGAATTGTCTATTTCAGCTACAAGAGCGTTGGTCTGACAGGCGCATGTTCGACAGGACGAAAACAAAAAACTAGAGGAAACCGAGAAAAAGGCGCGGCTGATTGTGAATGAACGGCTTGACTCTCTGTTGTACGACATCCAAGATGTCATGGCAGCAAAGGGCAGCCCTCGCAACGAAAAGCTGGATATCGACTTGGACGAGGCGTAAGTCCATTGTCAATACGGACCATCGATTCAAGCGCTGACATTAGCATTACAGCCTGCGCGCCAAAATTAAGACCATTGGCGAAAAGTTCGAAATGCGAGAATTGCATTATAAAGCGCTCTTGCGCAGCAAAGATGCCGAGATACAGTGTCTGACTGCCAAGTACGAAGAACAGCGCCGCGCTGCTGAAAACGAAGCGGCCCGTTGTCGTGCGCTCAGTTCGCAGGTGTCTACTTTTTCGCATACCGAAGCCGAGTTGCGCAGCCAGCTGAATATCTACGTTGAGAAGTTCAAGCAGGTATGTTTCGGCGTCCATTGCGCGGCCTGTCACGTCTGTTACAATAGCAGGTAATAATAATGTTACAGGTGGAGGATACGCTCAATAACAGTAACGAACTGTTCCTGACATTCCGCAAAGAGATGGAGGAAATGTCGAAGAAAACCAAACGGTTAGAGAAGGAGAACCTGACACTCACCCGCAAGCACGACCAAACGAACCGAAACATACTAGAGATGGCCGAGGAACGCACGCGAAATCACGAAGAGTTGGAAAAGTGGCGAAAGAAGAGTCAACACCTTGAAGCGCTTTGCCGGCGAATGCAGGCCCAGGGCCGTGGGCAGGGTCTCGCAGCCGAGTTGAACGGAGACGACGAGGGAACAGAGAGCGAGTACGACGAGGACTACGAAGACGATGAAGACGACGAGGGCATCAGCGACGACGAGTACGAGTTGGACAATCCGGATCACGACATCAACGGCGGCCGTAGCGCTCCCCAGCCGACGGAGAAGCCTGTCTTTGGACCGCCCCCGCCGCCTAACCTCTTGGAAGCGCGAGCGAATGGAAACAAAGCCATGATCAACGGATGCCACTAATGGATCTTGGTTCTGGCTAATACCTGCTGCCTCGCGTTTACCTCGTATTTCAAGAGTCTCATAGCGGCCTATGCATAGAAGGGCGTATATCGGTTGAGAGATGCTTGTCGACCCGATTGGATGTGACTCGATTCGCTGTGAGTAATCGGTTTGAGTCGCGCATATCAGGAAAGGACATGTAGCAGCAAGCCTGTCGCTCCTGAAGGTTTCTGTCATAGTTCAAGCCAGAGAAATGGAGACACTCTTTGTGGGATTTCTGCTTGAGTGAGCCTCTCTTCTGGTGTTGCCGAAGTAGTCTCAAGTATACCACAACGCATGTTCCCTCGTCCACGAGGTTTTTCATTTCGCCCGTCGCACCCGTTCTGTTTTGTTGCACATGTTCCTGTACTTGTACATGCCGAATGAACAAAAACCCTATTGATAGCTTCAGGCAATCATGAAATTCATTTTTACACCATAGCCGATTTCGAAAAGGCAACTAAACTACGGAGTACATACAGCCAAAGAAATCATAGCTTGCTTGACGGTCCGGTGGTATACGACGCTCCTAGCTTCAACAGGTCGGCGGCATCCTGGACCATCTCGCGCACAATGTCACCTGCAGGCTTGATCTCTGTGATGCTAGCGGAGACATCGCCCATGAGGAAAGGCATATCGACCTCCTTCTCGTTCTCCAGGTCATGCATCATAGGGACGATGCCCTTGGCCGTCAGCTCGGCGATCTCCTGGGGCCGCTTCTCCCAGTCCTTGATGTAATCATTCGGCAGCATCCGCAGCGGCCGTCCGGTCACGACAAGCGTCCGCTGCGTCTCGCCGTACCGGGCCCTGACCACGGCCTCCTTGTGCATCCGGCTAGCACCACTCTCCTCGGACGCCACGAACCGCGTACCCACCCAGACCCCGGACGCACCCAGCATCAGCGACGCCGCCAGGCTGCGACCGTCGTTGATGCCGCCCGCTGCGACAACCAGCGCCGGCTGACCCGTCAGCGGGCTCTTGTACCGCTTGGCGACGTCCACGACCGCCGGCACGAGGACGGAGAAGGGGATGTTGCCTGTATGCCCGCCACCCTCCCCACCCTGCGCACAGACAATGTCCACACCGCGCTGCAACGCCTTCTCCGCGTGTCTCGGGGCCCCGACCATATTCATGACCAGGATACCGGCATCGTGGAGCCGCTTGATGGTGCGCTCGGGCGGCACGCCCACGGCAGACACGAAGAGCCTGGCTCCGTGCGAGATAACAACCTCGATCAGCTCGTCGAGCTGGCCGTGTGTGTAATCATGGTTCGTGACGCGGGCGCCGCCGCCGACCTGCGGCAGGGCCAGGTCCACGCCGAAAGGGAGAGACTTGTCGCGCAGCAGCGATTTGAGCTCCGTGAGCATCTCCGAGAGCTGCTCGGGGGTGTAGCCCAGCCCGCCGATGGTTCCTAGCCCGCCTGCGTTGGAGACGGCAGCGGCGAGGGGAGCGCCGGATGCACGAGCCATGCCTGCCAGCAGGATGGGGTGCTGGATGTTGAGGAGAGAGCAGAGGGGTGTGTGGACGGACATTTTGTAGCTTAGATAATAGACTAGTGGGATATCAAGTCGCCTTCAAAATCGGTGTGCGTTGTCTTGTATCATCCCTATTCTTCACAGCTATCGTACTGAGTGAAGGACAGAACTGTGGTAAGAATGTGTCTAGAAATTGAGAAGGAAATAGTTAGGGTGAGACGGTTTAACAGATCTTTGAAGGGACCAAGTAGACAGAGAGGTCGTATTAGTTTGCATTATTGACCACCTATATACAGAGATGGCTCTCATGAGCCCCAGAATTTATGCGCACATAACCAACAACAGAGCAGGAGATGAAGCTGTTGTGCCTGTGTGAATGCGGGGAAGCGGAGGCCCCGAGCAGCCGGACCGAGGCAGCGCTCACAAGCTGCCGTGCGTCAATAATTCAACCATCTACCATCTACCTCTACCATCTCTGCGTTTTCATTACTTCATATAGCCAATATGTGGACAAAGACGCTAGGTTAGTGGTGCTGCTTCGTTCCTTGTATCATCGACGGAATGTGGAGTCCGCCGGTAACTCGTGGGTCGGATGATTTGCCTGGCCCTCAAGCTCATGCGCGGGATTGCGGCCGTCAAGTTCACTGACCATCAGGCTATTACTTTTATAAGGTGTGACGGGGACCACTTGCGGCCCGTGAAGAACTGGTTGACGTTTCGTTCGGCGACTGAAAAGCCACCACACCAAGAAAGCGATGAGGGCTACTCCAGCCACGCCGCCGACTACGCCTCCCGCAATGGCTCCTGTGTTTGTTTTCGAGGACGCCCCGGGGGGTTGAGTCGATGTGTGTGTTGGCGATGCCGAGGACGTAGAGCTCGTCGACGGCGTGGATGTTACGGGGGAAGTCGATGTGGCAACCGATGCTGGAACGCTACGTTAGTTCAGCTGAAGATTCTGGGTGCTTTTTACAGCCCACGTACCCTTCCCCGAGGAGACAATCGGCAACAGAGTCTCGGAGCTCTCGAATTTATACCCCGGCAAC